TTTTTTTACTGAGTATGACCATTTATTATAGGTAATCAAATACAGTATGATATAATATGTCATTAATGATATAAGAATGCTGCTGGTTTTTTGGTTACGATCACGATAACGGTTTCCGTTATCGTGATCGCTAGATGGTGTACTTAGTAAAATAGGTAGGATGCGTTCGGAAATATTAATACAGTATACAGTACAGTATATACAGTAAATATACAGTACAGTAATACAGTAAATATTAGTACAGTAGGAATAGGCGTAGTCATCGATATAATGGCGTAGTACATGCCATAAAAATACCTTCTGATCAGATTACTGATTTGTGAAAAAAGTGTAATGTGCCCGACAAAAATTTTTTGACAATAAATGTGTGAGAGAAATTGTCTGTCCTTCGGGGCCCCCTGAGAATGGTGGCCCTGGGCACGGGCCCCGTGTGCCCTTATGGTAAAGACGGTATTGAAGGTGTGTCAAAACGTTCACACTGAGGTTTTCTATTAGCATCTGAGCTGGTCTTATTCAAACATCACAGTCACATTCTTATATAAATAAATAATTTAAAGCAGTTATTAATTTTACTCAAAAAGAAAACCGCATATTGATTTTATTTCCAGATTGAAACACCGTTTTTTACATATTTCATTAAAACTCTTCCACACTTTAAGGTCCAATAATTATTTACGTTTACTTTGTCCTTTTAATAGAATTCACTAATTGTATTTTCTTGATGCTTGAACGTTTGTTCGTTGTGTGTAAATGAAAACTGTTCCAGTTAAGTTTCGTAAAGTTCGAGATGTTTCCAGGAAGATCCGTCTGCCGTTTCATTGTGAAATCCAATAAATAAGTACGTACAGTTCTAAAACTTGGGTCGGCTGGTGTAAGATTATGATTAAAATTTGTTAATTCAGAACTTAGTGTGTTTTAATTTAATTTTGTCGTGTCTATAGAAGAGCAAGCGATGTGTGTGGCCATTAGGCAGGCGATCTTAGTTATTTTCTCATATTATTTTATCTGGATAACATACCTTCATATAATTAAATATAATTGTGGTTTATTCATTAAATTATTTATGAAATGAAATACAGAGAAAACTGTTTATATTTTATTTTAATTTGGTTTTTATCAGAGTATATGCACATGGCGTTTTACTGTTTTCTAAATTATCAGTTTATCGCAATCAATGATTTAATCACAGTGGAGTGTAATCGCAACATAAGTGAATTGTACGGACCACTCTTATAGCTTTGTTCGAATATAATTGTATGTCACTTTGTTCTAGAAAAATATGATCAATGTAATTTTTTCGTACTCTGTTCCGGGAAGTTTAAGGGAATCAGTTTCTAGTAAATACAATATTTACTATTGTTTAATACTAATATTTTATTACTATTATTATCACGATACTCCGTCTTTCTCTTGATACTGTTACGCGCTGGGGTACGCGATAAATAAAAACTCTATCGAATTACAAGATAACCCTGTATTAGCACTTAGAACACTTAAAACACTTCACTAACACCTTAACATTCTCAATTCACTTCTTCCGCTTCGCTTCAGGTGATCCGTTCGCTGTTTCGCTTCGAGTAGTTCCGATTACTAACTGACTGCGTGCGATCTCTGCAACGCTTTTCTAGCAGGTACCACATCCCTAGAATTATCGAGAATATTCCACACATTTCGAGAATTGTGTTTCCGCTATCCGACAATAGATGGTGTTGTACTTCTCGAGCGTTCTAGGTGCTACTAGATCCTTCGATATTCGTTCGACTATTCGGCGATAGATGGCGTTACTCTTACCGGCGTAACGATACGTTTTGCCAATACGTTTGTAAGCTAGTTTCGTGGCCACTATTGTCCTCAACGAGTTGTACAGGGCCGCACGCTTATCGTGCAAAACATAAATCTCTGATAACGTGTCACCTCAGTCGATAGCGGCTTAACTTAGTGGAAAAATGGAGGCAGGTCACAGGGAGCGATGTGTTATACCCTTACGCCTGAAAACCTCTTACAAAGATATGCAGTCTTATTTATAACTGTCGATTATGTCGTGTCGTGTGAAGGAACCTAAGCCGATAGTATTTTGTCAATGTGCTGTTAGTAGTTTAGCTAGTAGTAAGTTTCAAAACGGAACATGCATCATATATAAGTCGACTACCTTTATTTTTGCTTAGATGGTTGGATGAGTCCACCTGGTGTTAAGCCGTTACTGGAGTCCATAGACATCTACAACGTAAATGCGCCACCCATCTTGAGATATAAGTTCTAAGGTCTCAGTATAATTACAACGGCTACCCCACCCTTCAAACCGAAACGCATTACTGCTTCACGGCAGAAATAGGCAGGGTGATGGCACTTACACGTGCGGACTCACAATAGGTCCTACCAACAGTAATAATGGGAATATTTTTTTGGTATTAAACGTGATAGTTTCAATTTAAACTTGCAATTTGTATGTATCTCCTACCTTTGCAATGTTTATAAGCTACTTTTATATTCATCGATACTAATAACGGCCGTCTGGTGTAGTGGTAAGTGACATGGTCACTACACAAGGGGGTTTCGGGTTCGAATCCCGCCAAGGGAGGATATTTGTATGATAAATATAAAATGTCTTTTCCAGAGTTATGGATGTATATTAAATATGTGTATGTGTATAATAAAAATATTACATTTATTTCCGTTATCTGGTACCTGTAACACAAGTTCTTTACGAACTTATCACGGGACCAGTTAACGTGGCGTGATTGTTAGTATATATTTATTATTATTATTAATGTATGTGCCGAGTAAAATGGAAACAATTGTACCTACCTCGCTTTGTCACACCAACTCCTGTTGCTTAAAACACGTTTATACACAACTTATCTTATCGCATTAATATAAGGTGAACAAAGTTAGCATTGAGAAACAGATTAAACTCTCAGTATCCGTAGGGTAATCTGAAGCAACGAGAAATGCAATCAAGCAACTAATCCAATCGATACGAAATTTGCATGCAAAGCAAGAGTTATGAGCTGCAGGTATTGGATATTGAAAGCTCATTATATTCATGGTTTCAGACAAACACGCCAAGTACTAAATAATTGAATGTGATTTTTTTAAAGAATCTACATCACAACTATAGTATGTACATTTCAGATTAAGTAACATATCATCCTTCATCATCATTCAATTCTCCTGCCCTTCTCCCAGTCACCTGAGGTTGGTGCAACATCCATACTCCTCTATCATATACCATTTCTTGCTCACTTTCCTCTTACACATATCGTCTTTCACGAAATCCATCCATTTTTTCTAAGTCTACCTCTTCCTCTAACTTAGAGAAACATCAGATTAAGGAACGCAGTGGCAATATAACACATACAATGAAACTTCAATCGTAAGATATTTTCAAAAGTTCTCTATGAACCATATCATGTGAGGAGAATCAGGGGATAGTGAAGAATATTGAATCAAGCAATTAACAAACTTATTTCTATTAGACTTAAGTCTTGTCTAAATTCGTACATAGTGCACAACTCTGTAACCAATTGCTCCACGCAATCCTAGTATGATCTACTGAACTGTCAATCTCCTATGTCACGCTGCAACTCCATTCGTCTTTAAGAACTACAAATCTTGTCCAGTGTGATCTTAAAATAGCATCTGTTTAATATTACTATTACTATTTATTGGCGTCTTGAATTCTCTGTATTTAATCACATAGCGAACCTCTTAGTGAAGCTGTTTTAATCACCCTTCACAATATGTACTGACTAATCTTATTACTACAATAATTGCAATAGCCGAACATCTAACCGAAGCAACATGAAGTTCCTTAGAGACTATCAAAAAACATTGGACCCACACTGTAAAATACTGTACTGGTGGTAGAACCTCTTCTGAGTCCGCGCGGGTAGGTGCCACCACCCTGCTTATTTCTGCCGTGAAGCAGTAATGCGTTTCGGCTTGAAGAGTGGGGCAGCCGTTGTAACTATACTGAGTTCTTAGAACTTATATCTCAAGGTGGGTGGCGCATTTACATTGTAGATGTCTATGGGCTCCAGTAACCACTTAACACCAGGTGGGCTGTGAGCTTGTCCAATCATCTAAGTAATAAAATAAAAAAAATCTGATCTCCCGTGATCCTTACTTGGTCAGTGCGTCGTCAACGCTGAGAATCGCGGAAAGGACTTCACGTTGCGTCCATAATTTTAGAGAAAATCGGACATTCAGACCTTGCGCTTATTGAAGGCGCGTGATGCGAGGAACAAGGAAACGTTCGGAGAATATTAAAGTTAGATCGGACAGAACGAGTCGATGAAACGCGACATTTAAAACATTTAATTGTTTGTATTGCAATACGATATTAGATTCTCTGAAAGTTAATGATTTTGTAGTTAAAGATTTCATTTCTGATTCCGATAAACTGTTAGATAAGATTGCTTAATAGGGTTTGTCTCAAGGTAACATCGACACTGATATTGCTAAGTTTGTGCCCAGAAATGATTGTTGGCAACTGAACTGAAGTGACTACAACATTATGATATTAAGCACAAGGATAGCTGTAGTCTTATCGGTGACGATAGAGTAACATCGGAAATCTATGTCGAGTGAAACCATTTATTAAAGGGTTCTTGTTCAAATTGAACCAACTTAACCGTTTATAAAGAAAACACAATTTCATTTTATTCAAAACGTTTATTTGGATCAGAATTATAAGGAATAGATAAATTAAAAATAAATCATATAAATAGAATTTAAATTAAATGGCACTTATTTTAAAGAAGCGGTCCGCATTGAATAGCCTTTGAACATATTATTTCCTGCTGGTATCGCAGGGCAGACAAATATTGTACAAAACTTTATGATTGAATAAATCGTTCACGAAATAGCTAAATAACATTTACTAATATTTGAATACCGGCCACCCAACAACGAGATCCACATGATCACGAGGCTTCAACCAACGCACCCAGACCTGCGGATGCATCTAGTTCATACCGTAAAGGATTTCTCTACACAATTTTAGGACGTGGCTGGTTCTTCTTTGAAGATCATTTTCAAGATTAAACGACCACAACTGTCGCTCCCCAAAAAGAGAAGGTGAGTTCTAACAAACAAAAGAAATGAGGACGGAATAGTATTCTTTGATATATAGTCATTGATAACTAATTCTTCTTCTTTCTCATCAACCGTTACGACGCTTGGTACAAGCTTCTTCTGTAACTACGTCCAATTTATGTGGTCTTAGATAATGCACGAGCCATATTTCTCTTACTGTTCTGATCTGTTCCACGTGACTGTCCCCTTGTTCTACGTCCAAACTTCGTAATAACAAGACTCCAAATTGTCAAATTTCTGTAAGCGTTGAGAATATCTGCAAGTCCCAATAATAGATTGGAGCTCCTTTGAAGCCAAACTCCAGTGATTTTTCAAAGTTAAGCCACAATCTCGAAGTATGCATGTACCACAATCGCCTTTTTGGGGTCGAAATAAAATGGCCCGCCTCTATTTCGAGCTGCGAGACAAGTATCCGAGCTACGTTTCTTCGTCCAAGTCTAGGCGCTTGGGTCTAGGCGTCGCAGGGCAGCTGGACGTACCTGAGGCAGGCGCCGATGTTGTCCTCGGGGCTCTGTTTGGGTGTCGGCGGCCCGAGGTGCACGGAGACCGCGAACGGCGTGCTGGACGTCTCCACCCAGCACCGCGCCGCCGGGAGCCCCGGGCAGAACGAGCCGCCGCAGTGGTGCGGGTCGCACACCCCGCCGCCCCACGCGCTGCTCTGTGCCCACAACAATCTAATGATATGATACGGTATGATCTGTCGTGGCCTCGCCATCAGAATGTAACGGCCGGTGATACTGTCCATGGTCCGCGGTGACCTAACGCTACATGAAAACCGCGTCTGATCATCTAATAACACGGAAAAGAGTGCTAAAAAATCAGTCGAATACAAGTCATGTCGGTGATGGAAGAACTTATCGTATCATTCAGTTACACTTTAAATGCTATGAGAATATTTCAACTATTACCCCGGGTATGTTTATTTATTGCGTCAATAGATAAACGAGCTTCACCGCTTGCCTGTATGCCGTAAAATAGTGCGGGTACCGCTACCCACCCTGAGATGTGAGGTCAAATTGTCCATTGTATTTTATGACGACTGTATCATCACCCTTGAGACCGGCAATTTGTGGCCCGCAGCGTCTATCCGTACTGGCTTAAAGGATACCCTACCAACAGTTAATACTCAGAGAAAGTTGCTTTCCCTTCACTTCACTGGAAGAGATAAGACAGTGCCATTTTACCTGCAGTCAAACTGCGTAAGCAGCTTTGCGGGGCATAGTTTAAATGAAAGTGTAACTTTTTATGAATAAATATATTACATACATACATTCTCGACTAGACCGCACAGGCTAGTAAAAGGAAAACAGTTGAGCACTCACCGAAACGAAATACTCATTCTCGCAGGGCACAGTGATCCTGTCTTCGCACCTCTGCCTCCCGAAGCCTTTGAGACCTATCCCGAAGGTACCGTAGCCGAAATAACGGATTTTGTCATCTTCGTTGAGGTACTGGGTGTACGGAGACCAGCGGATGTGGGCTCGGCCAGTCTGTCCCCACATCCAAGACCAGATATAACTCCAGATCTAGATGCGATTAGTTTGGTTAGACTATCTACTCAAACTGACGGTAATATAGCTAGCGTAGTGTGTAACGATTGGAAATTAGCCATAATTAGTCCTTGACTAAAGAAAATTTCAGTACTTTTAGTAGTTTTAAAAGAGTGATGGGAATAAATGGTAGGTGAAGTTCAAGGGATTTCAGAATTGACCTACTCTTGTTGGTCCCACTGTTAAGCGGTACCAAAACCAGTGTAACGTGAAGTCATCTCTCAACTTGGAACATGAGCTCAGTTTTCGGAACGGTCTTAGTTTTACCATCTATACTGGAACTCATGAAGCTCGCAGCAGTAATAGACAGGAATACAGAGCCGCACTGAAATTCCCCAACCAGCACCAGAGTTAAATAAAATCCTCACCCTAGACAATGTGTTAGGTCTTGTCACTGGAGGAGATGCTTCTATTTGCGGATCCATCCCAGAACCTTCTAGATCATCTTCCTCGCTTTGATTGTCTTCTGCTGGCATCACTTCATCGGGTTCTGTAGCTATATAATTAAGGACGTTGACATATGATCCATTGAAACAGTGCACGAAATTTTACCTTTTGAATTATTTGGGAATTATAAATTAGGTGTAGAATTAAATAACACTCTTGTATGGTGACGTCATTGTACAAAATGTATTTTCTAAATGGATTTTACTGTCGTCGACTTTTTACGTTGAGCTTTTTAACAATAATAAAAACTAGTGAACACGCGAATAGCTTTATTACACCATAAAGTCGCACTATATAATCAACTTTCTTTAATTTAACATGACTCTCGGTACACTAAAATATTCTGTCCATGGAAGAGTACCAGAATACTATTAAAATAAAAATTGAACCCTGTATTTTGTAATATTAATTGTATGTTTTCAGTTTTAGTATTATGGTATTATTGTAACAACCTTTCCAAAGCATACGATTATTCTGACCTTAGTCTGTCCAACTATATACAATTTAAATTAGAGCTTAAGCCGTTCATTTCATCACAGTAAGGCCATTGTTAATCGAATTAAAAGCAAGGTCAAAAATATACTGGGATTAAAGCTTTAGGATTGAAAAGGGGTACACAGAAATGAACCGTTTTGCGTTTGAATAGTCTGGTTATCCGCAACTGAAGAAATCGGTGCTATTGTTGAAATCCCACTGGATGCTGACGATCCAGGATACGTTGGAATCTCTAGAGGGAATATTCATTAACGCATAATCAAATTAAGCTTCTTTTCTCTATACCTTCAGATGGAGTATTAACAATAGCCTAGCCTAGTTAATACTGATTGGGCTAATTGGACTATCCTAAGGATGCAATATTGTTAGCATCTCGTACGTCCTATGATACTCGGTGAGCATAATCCCTTGATAAATCCTTAAAGTGGCACACTTATTTTTCCTACCTGATAGCCTTGAGAGGCTATTTCAGCTTCGCCCTAACATCTAGACAAGCTCACGGGGCTCAAACCGGGGTGTTGCTAACACTGGCCCTAGCAAGAGCCGTGCTTCGCAGAATCTACCACCGGATCGGAAACGCGACCCACTGAGAAGATGCGGCAAGAAACTCAGTGGGCTGTGTCTGTGGGTTAATTCGTTCGTCGAGCCCTTCGTCGCAAGCGACGGGTTCGACGAGGACGGTGACTGGGTGGCACACTGGTATCTTCTCCTTCTATTGCAGTTTAAGGCACACGCTGCAATCGATCATCAGTAGACACAATAGCTCTAGCACATCAACTAAAAACGCTGCTTAAATAATGTTTAATACAGCACCAAGGGATATGCAGCGTACGTCACATAATCTAGATTGCTCTGAACACTTACCCGTAGGCTCCGTTGGTCCCGGTCTGTTCCCCCTGGGCCCTATCCTGAAGGAGTGCTCGTTGCAAGGCGCGTATCTGATGGAACAGAACCCGGAGTTCCTCCTGACGCAGGAGCGGTACTCGTGGTCGGCGAGGTGGCGGCCGTTCTTGGCGTAGTTAAATGTCTTTATTGTGCCTGAAATTTTATTTATAAGCTTCGATTGCTGATAGTTTTAGGACGAGACCAAGCAGCTGGAACTGACCATGTTTGCAGTTTTTAGACAAATCACGTTTGGTTTTGGCTGAGTCATGTCGCTTACTGGTGGTCAAATGAGTCCACCAGAAAGGTAGGTGCCCGACACCGAGTATTTTGCCCCGAAGTCTTTACACGAATTGAGACTTTAGTTTCGATTGACATGCTGAGTGCCGGCATATACATTGTTGGTGTGTATGGTCTCCGATAACTACTTAACATCAGATGGAACGTGAGATCGTTCACTAGTGTGAGCACTAAAAAAATTAACAAAATAGAACCACTCCATCTATTACCTTGGATTTCGTGAACGTTCACTAATTTAACGTAGAATAGGCAACAGTAGTGTCTTAATAATAAACCAGCAATTCTATTCCGATCACCAATCAGAATTTACTGTGAGTGAAATTATCAGGCGTGCGCCACTGGAGACAATAGATCTGCCTATTTCTAGCGCAAGACGACGCTGGACGGTGCAATCGATACCTCGGCCCTTGTCTTAGGACGAGTGGTAACATCCACATCCATGACCTCCAGTAAAACCAATACCAGGGGTGTTGTCAGGTCATCTACCCATATACAGAGAGAGAAGAAACAGTCTATTAAATACCTACAGTAGAGATTAGTTTGGGAACATCATGAGCTCGTCTGGTCGGGGATATATCGATCCTTACCATTGTTTTCAGTGTAGTATTGGAGACAGTCGTGCGGAGCTGAATTAGCTAGCGGCATTTGTGCGAGCCTCATCAGCCATAACCTTGGAGTATCCAACGCCCGCATTCTCATCGATAGCTGCGTAGACTTACTTCCAGCCAAGTCCCCTGCTTCCCTTCTCTCGCTGTTGCTGGATAGTGTGTAGTAAACTGAATGGAAGGTAGGAGAGATTGAAGCGTGCAGATAACCCAAATTCGGTAAAATTGCAATCAAAATTTGTTAATACCCTTAAACCTCTTACAGCATCGAATAATTTTCGAATCTATAGGCACATAAAATTAAAATGGCTAGTTTTATTTCTGAAGGCGAAGATTCGAAACGACACGTTAAAGATATCATTTGATTAGTTAAAGTTTAGGTCTACTTTTAATTACTTAGAAGCACTTTCTGTAATTAAAACAAAGGTAAAATCTGTTACATTAATCCTTTTTACGAATATTTTTGGACAGTTCATGAGTTTCTGATTATTTCTATTGGCGGAGATAAATAAGAGGAAGGTGGTAGGCAGATGAACACGGACCCTGGGAATTGCGAAGATCAGCATCTCACCGCGGGTCTCCACTAATAAGCGTGAATTCGGCTAACTTAATCTCGGAATAATCACGATCTTCAAAAACAAGTACTAATTAAACATAAATGAAATTTTATTCCTAGTTTTCTAACATCTTCCTAATAATTAAATAATTTACTCACAATGCTGTCCGGGATTCTGTCCGCACAAAACAAATTTCGTTTCCCCGTCCCCTAATATCATAGCGTCCTCGTCGCACTCCCCAGTTGTCCTATTGGGTTGACCCTAGAACAATAGCAGAAATGCCATTACATTTTTTTTTTTTTTTTTTTATTGCACTTGTAGGCAGACGAGCATACGGCCCACCTGATGGTGAGTGGTTACCGTCGCCCATGGACTTCAGCAATGCCAGGGGCAGAGCCAAGCCGCTGCCTACCGCTTAATACTCTCCACAAGCCTCGTTTGAAGAAGGACATGTCATAGCGCTCGGGAAACACCGTGGAGGGGAGCTCATTCCATAGCCGGATGGTACGTGGCAAAAAATACCTCTGGAAACGCACTGTGGATGACCGCAGTGGCTCCAGGTAGTATGGATGAACTCTACTCCGGTGGCGGGCGGTGCGATGGTAAAAACGAGATGCCGGTATCATCTCGAACAATTCCTCAGAGCACTCCCCATGGAACATACGGTACAGAATACAGAGGGAACCGAAGTCCCGAAGTTTTTATTGAAATGTGCGGACGGACCAGCTCACGGACTTTTTTTTTCTCGGGACGGGTGCCGAACCTCCTACGAGGTCGCCGCGCCTAGGGGGCGCGCGGGGTATGTGGGACTTGACGATCTGCAAGGGCCCTGCCTACTAAACGACTCCCCTGCACTCTTCGCCCAAGCGTCCGATCCCCTCCGAGTTTAACCCGGAATAGGTAGGGGGTTTACCGCGGTCAACACTGCAACCAGACAGCGCAGCTCACCCCAAGGACGCCCAGCCGACGGAGCCTTCGAAGCGAATCGAGGGCTCTGAAACCAGCTCACGGCCTACCTTATATTAAAAGGCTACCAGAACCCATAGGCAACTCAACTGAAACCCTACTTTAAGACATGAGGTCTAAATTTCAATTGTATATTATAACGGCAGCCCTACTCTTCCAATCGCAACGCGTAGCCGTGGTACATATTGGCAGAGTGGCGGCACTAATGTGTCCGTACTGACGTCACGCCATACCTCCAGTAAATTATTGGTCGTGGAGTGGTCGTGATCGTCATATAGTGTTGGAGGGGGCAGACTTGATGCGTCTCACATTGTCCCGCCCTCCCTGCTCGAGGCCTACTTCTAGTAGGTTCTACTGCACTCATTCACTCGGGTAACTATGGGATTTTTATTTAGACTAGTGGCCCCTTAGTAGTCGAAATTCGACTATAATTAATCGAAATTATAAGTTTAAACATTATTATAATTCTATTGTCATAGATTAATAAATTTCTATTAACACAAATTTCGCCAAAACTACACTGTAGATAAATAATATTAAAGACAAACAATTGACAATCCACAATAAAGAAAGAGTATATACGTTGTATTTATCTTAATAAAATAATAAAATATTTACATTCTGCACTCCTTCTCTATATTCTCTATAAGTGTGGGAAATTTCATATCCTTCCGTCCGCGCAATTTTCTCAAAAAGGGGTACGAAGTTTTTGTTTCACGTATTAATATAAAGATGTTGTTCCTTCATCACTATTTATGAACTCGTAATAAGTACTTCACTGGTGGTAAGAACACTTGTGAGTCCGCCCGGGTATGTACCACCACCCTGCCTATTTCTGCCGTGAAGCAGTAATACGTTTCAGTTTGAAGGGTGGGGCAGCCGTTGTAACTATACTGAAACCTTAAAACTTATATCTCAAGGTGGGTGGCGCATTTACGTTGTAGATGTCTATGGGCTCCAGTAACCACTTAACACCAGGTGGGTCGTGAGCTCGTCCACCCATCTAAGCAATAAAAAAAAGTATAGCATTAGATTTTTTTTTGTGTTAGCCAAACTGGATTTAAATTCCAGCATACAGTCACGCTCGATATCATTATACCTAACGTCTTATACTTTAGCCCACAACAGCTTGTAAATGTAATTTAAAAAGATTCCTTAAAAAAGAGAAGTGATTACTTACGATAGTGAAATGTACGAAATCAATCCTCAGCTGCATGATGCCAGCGAAAGCCTTGTCTATAGTGATGTTGCAATCTTCATCGCCGCTCCACAGCTCAGGGAACTCGGGGGACATGAAGTACGTCAAGTTATTTTGGACGACCCCACCGCAGGTCACCTCAACTGGAATTGATGCACGAAAATAGGTTTAAAGCTAATACGACTAATGAACTTCAAAACTTTGAATTTAATATTATAGACAAAATTGATCCAAAAAAATGTATGTGCCTAGTAGTGTCACTGACTATATCTTGCAGTAACTTCCCACTGAGCGTAATGGGAAGGAATCGTGCGCTAAAAGCACTGTATTTTCTTTCAACCTACTCAGAACCTAATGAAGTTGCTCTGTTACCGGGTGGGTACAAATTGACATTGAGTTAAGACTGAGCTTGTTGAAATAAAAGTTTAAAAGGACTGATACAAATGATATGTCTATCCACTACTAAAGCTTAATCTGTTCTGCCGCCTTGTTAGTAAAATATTGCCGGGACTGCTTTAATCTGAATTTTTATTTATATATATATATATTATTATTTTTTTTTTATATCCCCTTGTAGGCAGACGAGCATACGGCCCACCTGATGGTGAGTGGTTACCGTTGCCCATGGACTTCAGCAATGCCAGGGGCAGAACCAAGCCGCTGCCTACCGCTTAATACTCTCCACAATCCTCGTTTGAAGAAGGACATGTCATAGCGCTCGGGAAACACCGTGGAGGGGAGCTCATTCCATAGCCGGATGGTACGTGGCAAAAAAGATCTCTGGAAACGCACTGTGGATGACCGCAGTGGCTCCAGGTAGTACGGATGAACTCTACTCCGGTGGCGGGCGGTGCGATGGTAAAAACGAGATGCCGGTATCATCTCGAACAATTCCTCAGAGCACTCCCCATGGAACATACGGTACAAAATACAGAGGGAACCGAAGTCCCTCCGCAGACCCAGAGGCTCCAAACGATCCGTGAGAATGGGATTATCGACAATCCGAACGGCCCTCCTCTGTATGGAGTCAAATGGAAGAAGCTGGTATTTGGGAGCCCCGGCCCAGAGATGGGAGCAGTACTCCACGCGAGGCCGGACTTGTGCTTTATAAAGCAAAAGCCTTTGTCCAGGCGTGAAGTACCGCTTCGCTCTGTTGAGGACTCCCAGCATTTTGGACGCCAACTTGGCTTTGCCTTCCAAATGACTCCGAAACTGGACATCGCTCGAAATGTCGACCCCAAGTATCCCAATACTCTCGGAAGGTTGCAGGGATACTCCTTGGAATTGCGGCGCCATGACAAAGGGGTCCTTCTTCGCAGTGAACGCGCAAACTTGTGTCTTTAACGGGTTGAATTGAACCAAGTTCAATTCACCCCATTTGGAGACTCGCCCCAGGGAGCTCTCCACTTCAGACACAAGTTTTGATCGTCTCTCTTGCACCACGCTTCGAGAGAGACTCTGATGGCCGATATATCGCGCATCCCCCGTGCTGTCATCCGCATAGCAATGCATGCCATCAATAGACAGCATGTCATTGATATACAGGATGAAAAGCGTGGGGGAGAGCACCGAACCTTGTGGAACGCCAGTTATATTGTTCTATGTGTTGGTATAGAGGAGCATGTGTAACAGTTCCTCATAGATAAGCTAATTACTGCATTCAACAAGTGTGTAATGTTATTGTATCATAAATCTGTTATAAGATATCGCAATCTTCATTTGCATATTGGATCAAAATCAATGACGATACAACACAATAACAAACGGTGTTATGCTAATTGCATTTCAGTCTATATCTTCTAGGCTTACTCGTAATTGTTGTTAGACTATCATTGAAGTCCACTGACATAATAAGATGTACTGTGGTATTAATTAATATCTACAACATACAAATATCAACAGATGCAACGAAACGATATAAGTCTATAGGGATTCATACGAAGCTCAAGGGTTATATAGTTTGCGGTTCTGGTCTCACCAATGATACGTTCGTAGCAGAGATTAATACAAAATTCTGGTCCTATATTTCCTATACACCCCAATTTTTCTTTGGAATACATTTCTTCAATAAATGAGATTTGCGAAATGTAGTCAACGGTAGTAGGTCAAAGGTAGCAGATTAACTATGTCCCTGGTATTGCTAAATTTAATCCGCAATAGCAATCACTGATTATCAGAGCCGTATGCTCGCCTGCCTAAATTGACAATTTTTTTTTTTTAAAAGGACCTATTGTACTAGCTGAAAGCCTTTTATTAGCTTCCGCTAAATGAGAATCGTCAGAGCGGCATCTCTCACGAGAGACGCGTCCGATGCCGCGAGTGCAATTACCGCAAATACGCTACAACAATACACGAGGTAAATAAATCGTCGACAAAACGACAGTGAAAACCGCGCTATGCGTTTGGAAACCGTGAATCCATTAAGAGGAGACAGCGGCGTACACTCTCGCATGTGGTTAGCGTAACGACTAGACAACCCGAAATAGAGGAACGTAGGGTATTGTGCACATACATATTATGATGATAAAAGCAAATTTATGTTTGAATGAATCTTTTATGTTTTCAGTCCGTTGGCGGTACTAAATTTATGTGTAGTAAATGGTTGTAGAATCTGAGTTTAAGCTTTGTTTCGTTTGGATATAGTGCGTTGTTGTGTTTTTAAAATGTAAAGTAATCGTTGGGGTTTATTCAATATTTAAATTGGAATTATAATGTTTGTTAGTTTCTGCATAGTTTGAAAATAATAATCTAAACGGAGAGCAGTGTCTTGGCTAAGCATCTGGGGCTTATGGTGTCTGTGAGTGATGGAAATCACTCAATCAACGCACACCCGCGCTACCTTCAAAGGTAATCAAACACGAAATAGTCATTCAAAACTCCCTTAATTATTTAAATTCTAAACACGAAATTAAGCCATAATACCGTTTTTCATAACTAAAGTAATTTATTTCGAGAAACTTTTATATTGTATGAAATTCCCTAGCTGCTTAAGTTAAATATTTTGATTTTCATGTGATCAGAATATCCTTTGTGATAAGAGTCGGCCCGCGGGGTCTGTCTTCAGATAAATCTTACACATTTTCTTTATATACTATAAAAATACATCAAAACCAATTTAAACCTATGCCTTACAATGCCGGATAGCAAAAGGTATTGGTTTTCGCCTAAACTGGCCTAAACACAGCGTAATCAATTTGATCACTCGAGCTGACGCAGTTCCCTTTGAGCTTCCAGTAAATGAAGCGACGGCTTGAATAAACTATGCTAATGGTGTTAACAAGATAGATAATGGTTAACAAGGTTTAATATATATATAATTGTAATGCTATAGTTACGGCTGTTGATTTTTTTGCATTTTCCTACATGATAATGACACCTTCTACCATGTGACATGATTGTTGTTCTACCAAATTAGACCGTGCGAAAATTTCGTAATAGAATTTGTAGGGTAATCACAGTAATAGGCGACAGGTCACGGGCACCACGTGTGACTCACACATTTCTCTTCCCCTAAAAGGGAAGATATATTATAAGAACTTAATAAAGCCTGCCATCTTGTATGGATAAGCCTGTTGGACCACTAAATTTTTTTTTTTATTGCTTAGATGGTTGGACGAGCTCACAGCCCACCTGGTGTTAAGTGGTTACTGGAGCTCATGGACATCTACAACGCAAATGCGCCACCCATCATGAGATATAAATTCTAAAGATCTCAGTATAGTTACAACGGCTGCCCCACCCTTCAAACCGAAACGCATTACTGCTTCACGGCAGAAATAGGTAAGGTGGTGGTACCTACGCGCCCGGACTCACAAGGGGTCCTACCACCAGTAAAAATAAATAAATATCAGGCATCTCTGCTTAATATTTATTTAATTAGAAGGCCTTTGTTATCATATGATTTATTTAGAATGCCATAAACAAAACGAACATCAAGACGAGGGATGATGAAGACAATGAAATAAGAAAGCAAAATGATAACTAAATTTGTATACATAATAAGAAATAAATCAACCTACGTGCGTAGGTGTATGACTAGTAAGGAAAAAATGACATCATAAATACGTAGTATAAATCGTGGGCGTTCAAGGCGTTCCTTTGCCGAGGGCACTCCGGAGAAATTGAATGTAATAAAATAACAAACTTTACGAAATCTCAACGAAACGAAAACCCACGAGAAGAACATTCAAAGTCGTGTCGTGGAATGAACGTTATTTTTTTTCTTTCATTTACTTATCACGCATTTCATTTCCTGGTTATTGGTGCCAAAGGTCACTACCACGGAACAGGTCTGATTACCCGCTAAGTTTCTCGCCGAATCTTCTTAGTGGGTCGCGATTCCGATCTGGTCGCGACTGGATAAAGTCAATGATTATCTAGAAGATTGCACAAAGCGGGAATGAGTTGCTCGCTCCGCGCATTTTAATATTGCAATAATTGTTACGTTATAATACACATTATAAAAATGAATATTAAAAAAAAATCCAGTATTTAAAAAAAAAAAAAAACTAAAAAAAAACATCCTCTTTCTCAGGACGAAGGCTAGTTTTTGTGAATTGGCGGTAGTTCTTTTTGACGTTCAACAATAAGTATGTACTTTCATTTATGTTGAATTTTTTTTTTTTATTTGATTTGATTTGATTTGTCGGTAGATTCTGCAAAGCATTGCTTTTTCTAGAGCCAGTGCTAGCCAACTCTTTCAGGTTAAGCCCGTGACAGTCATCTGCCACCCGTGAGTAACTGGAATAGCCCCTTAGGCCACCAGCGATTAGATACGGATAAAATATTCAGATCACAATTTCATTAGATTAGCGTATGTCATGACCTTCCTCGTAATAAGCTGAACATAAATACAGACAACTCAAGGAAGTAGGTACTCAAGGTAGTAGTAGTCAACTTTTGTAGGTAGCGGCTTGGCTCTGCCCCTGGCATTGCTGAAGTCCATGGGCGACGGTAAACACTCACCATCAGGTGGGCCGTATGCCCGTCTGCCTACAAAGGCAATAAAAAAAAAAAAAAAAACTATGCTTAAATCTCTAAAGCTTTTTATAAGCTAGACAAAGTAATATGTTATATGTATGTATGTATCTATGTATATGTATATGTGATTGTGTATATATGTATATATATACTTTTTGTGTATGTATTCGTAACTTAATATAAATTTCATTGCACCTACAACTATTTACTCTGCACTACCTTTGGTTGACTGGTAGAGAATGCCTTAAGCATTAAGTCCACCAATGTAAATTTTAGATGAAGTGTAATAAATAAATAAATAAATAAATAAAAGTAGCATCACATCAAATAATTGTGAAATAAACACTTTACAATGCTTTCTGCTATTTTCACGGGCCGCAAACATAATTAAATTTAAACTGTTAGTTGTTGGTGACCATAAAAACTTTGAAGTAAGCGAAATATTGGAAAAAATACATATTAAAATAATATACGCGAAATTACGCCGTAAAACTAATCTCAAATATTCAATTCGTTACCAATCGGGATTTTCAACCGTATTATGGACGTTGGAAATAAACTAGACAAGAAGTTCGTCAACCGTTTGAGTTATTGATCCGAAAACAGAACGATACAAGAGATGACTTTTTTTATGATTGAAGTATTACTGGTAGCCCGGAGGCCAGTTAACAAGAAGTTAAGGTCCTACCGCCAGTAATTACGCAAATTATAATTTTGCAGGTTTGATTTTTATTACACGATGTTATTCCTTCAGCGTGGAAGTCAATCGTGAATATTTGTTGAGTACGTATTTCATTAGAAAAATTGGTACACGCCTGAGATTCGAACACCGGTGTATCGCTCAACACGAATGCACAGGACGTCTTATCCTTTAGGCCACGACGACTTCAAATCTACCATCTATCACTACCATCAGTAAATATAATACAAGATATATAATAATATAATATTTCTAGTACACTAGTGCGATAAACCTACAACTACTCAATTTAATTACTCACAAACGCAGCAAACTCCGAGTCCATGAGCGCAGTCCCCGGCAGCTCGCCCGTCGCGCTGTCTGCAGTCGTAGGCATTGAGACAAATGCCGGCTTTGGCAATGTTAAAACCAGTCGGCTGGCACTCTCTCTCCCCGCCCACCGGGAAGAAGTTCAGCACCTTGCTGAAGGAGAAGAGGCCACCTGAAACAAAAATATAAGTGTATTTTCTCATGACAAACTTTTTATTGCACATCCAAACTGATCTCAAGTCGGGGCGTATTGAGATTACCACGTAAATACCCCCACACAGATTCAATACTGGTGTTCTCCATGCTTCTGGCGACAAACAGCGGAATAACTATTTTTTTCATGAATATCATGAATATGTTTACATGTTGTTCAGGATTAAACTAAATGATAAAAGTGCATGTTTATATACTTTTACTGTATATTATAATTTTATTCTATGTTTTATTTACATTAAGTTCTGTCGCATTCACACGGATATCTTTTAATTTTATTTTATCCTTTCTTTCAGCATTTAGCATGCTTCTCTACATGCTATTGCTACGCCGGTAAGAGTAACGCCATCTATCGCCGAATAGTCGAATGAATATCGAAGGATCTAGTAGCGTCTAGAAGGCTTGAGAAGTACAGCGCCATATATTGTTAGATAGCGGAAACGCAATACTCATTTTTGTGGAATATTCTCGACGATTCTAGGGATTTGGTCTCGACTATAAAAGCGTTGCAGAGATTGCACGCCGTCGGCTAGTAATCGGAACTACTCGAAGCGAAACAGCGACCGGATCACCTGAAGCGAAGCGGAAGAAGTGAAAAAAAAAGTGTTCTGTGAGTGTTCTAAGTGATAAATACAGTATTAACTTGTATTTCGGTAGAATTTTATTTATCCCGAACCCCAGCGCGTAACACTATGTTGGCATGTCTGTAGTTTTTTGAAGATGTTTTGAGTTAAGGCCCAGGTCCGACACCCATAAGTCATAGTCGGAAGTATATTTGTAATTAATACTTTGCTTTTGAGTGGTAGTGGAATAGACCCCTTTTTTGTTATTACTTTAAGCTTATTCGATCTGTCAATCATCACTTTTTGTTTGGGTTATCGCCCACCCCGCTTCCGCGCCACCTCTTCGTGTGGGCATCGTCGCCCGACACGTTTTGAAATTCAAAATGCGTCCACTTCTTTTCATGTTACCCTTTCCAATAAAAGCCTAGGTTTCAATAAAATTAACAAAGAATATCCCTGAAACATCATGTAGACGTCATAATATGATGGCGGTAGTTCTTTTGACGTTCAACAAGTATGTACTGTATGTTGAATATTTTTTTTTTGATTTGAATGATTCGTAATTTATATTAAACCTACATGAAACTTGAGTAAATATAAGATAGTTAATACTAAGATCCCCCTAGGTAACATTACATTTATCGCATAAGAAATCTTCTTTAAATAAACTTTAGATATGTATCGTAATTTAATATGTGCATGTATCGCGTCCGTAGCTTAATAGTGAAATGCAAAGTGTGTGTCTTTTGCTATAGTTTATATTTTTGTTTGAGAAAGAAGAAATTAGCGGACTACGGTACTTACGCTGTCGATAGCGAATAGTGCGGATTAGGATGGAAGCAACTAAAGCCTTTTGTTACTCAACAACCATCGGCTGGCTATAGGTAAGTAGACGATCACTCGGCCTAGCTGCTACTAATTATGTATTAGAACTCATAGACACCACAATCTGATTGCCGCCGATTTTATGTAGAGTCCAAGTTTAAGATATTCATTCCATTGTAATAATAGCTAGTTTTGTTTTCAAATCCGAACACAAATTAGCACAACTAAATTAGACGGAAAATTAGTGCAGTTCAAGAGCCTAATGAGAATATTTCAACCATGGTTATTTAATACACTGAGTTTCTCGCCGGATCTTAACAGCGGGTTGCGATTCCGATCCAGTGGTAGATTCTGCGAAGCACTACTTTTGCTAGGGCTAGTGTTAGCAAATTCTTTTAGGTTGAGCCCGTGAGCTCCCTATGATAATGAGGCCCTTAGGCCACCAAAGTAAGTAAGGGAAAGAAGTGGTAAGCTTAAAACTTTTTCCCCAAAATCAAAAAATGCCACGCACGCATTTTTTATTGAAACATATGAAATATTCAATAACGTTCGAACTCGTTAGAGCAAAATTCAGTATGGACGAAACGCTGCATCGAATATTTTGTTGCAATAGTTTTTGTTTGTTGGGAACCGGTTGGGAACTATATATAGGGTATGTTCGGATACACCGCGAGTACTGTTCAGAACAGTGGCTGTGGAGAAATTCGTTCCGTTATGAACTGTCGCCTACTTTGTAATATTACGCGCTGGGGCTCGGGATAAATAAAATTCCACCGAAGTATAAATTAAAAACTGTATTCAACACTTAGAACAATTAAAACACTTCACAACCACTTTAAAATTCTCAATACGCTTCTTCCGCTTTGCTTCAGGTGATCCGTTCGCTGTTTAGCTTCGAGTAGTTCCGATTACTGAGTGCACACCATCTCTGCAACGCTTTTATAGCCGATACCACATCCTTAGAATTTTCGAGAATATTCCACACATTTCGGGTATTGTGTTTCCGCTATGTGACAATAGATGGCGTTATACTTCTCCGAGCGTTCTAGGTGCTACTAGATCCTTCGATATTCGTTCGACAATTCGGCGATAGATGGCGTTACTCTTATCGGCGTAACAGTAACTTTATTGAAATCGTAATTGTTTGTTTTTTAAACAAAATTAAGCTGTTTTGTTTTGTCTAAACAATGTCAATTAAATGTACGACAATTATATTTTTTAAGACGTATGGATTTGATGCGAATGCTTAACTTCAGTTAATTTTTTTAAATTACTGATACGGAGGCTGATAGCATTGTTTGCCTGCATCTACCGCGAGTTCATGTTTGAAATATAAATTAATAAGACTTTTTTTAAACCAATATAAATGGTTTGTGTATATGTTGTTAATACGATACAATTTCTTTAAAGTAAAATCAATGATGTTAACGCGTAAGTCCGTACAGGTAAGTTACTATCTTACCACTTATTTCTGCTGCAAAATACATATTCATTTCAGTTTAAAGACTGCGCTCCTGGCAGTTATACAATACGATTCAGACTAAGACCTCATGTCTATAGGTGGGCGATGGCATTTACGTAATGATGTATATGAAGCCCAAAAACCATTTAACACCAAATGAGCCGTGAGCTCATGTATTATAGTTGTACAATTAAATTGAAGCGAATTTATATATGACATAAAAAGTATACAGGTCTATAAGTGGGAAGATCGTTTTTTGTTTTTTATTGCTCATATGAACGAGCTCACAGCCCACCTGGTGTTAAGTGGTTACTTTTTTGTCAATTCACACTGGCACACTAATTTTACTTTAAAATAAGAAAATATAAATGACATTCATTAAATTGACATAAAGATGTTACGAATAGTTTTTTTATAAATAAAAGAGTTTGTTGTTCATATCCACAAAATTTCGCCATACCAGCCCACACATATATATATATAGTATATTATTCGAATTTTAAATATTTGAAAACCATTCGAATCTCAAATTATCACAAAACATATTTAATAAGCACCAAGACAAATCTCATAACAAAAATAAATACTAAAAGAACGCAGACCACAGAAGTACTAACGAAGAACGGACTAAGTTCTTCGATTTGTTACAAGTTCGGGTTCCGTACATTAAACAAAAAGGCTGCTCACAAATCAATGAGGCGCCGAACCACTCTAACGAGAACTAATGAAATTAGTCAACTTTCGAAGTAAGAAGAATAAAAAGAAAGATCTGGTTTTCGCAAAATTTTAATAATGGACAAAGGGAGTAAGTTTCTTGTGGTGATAGACTGCCAACTGTGATGGATAGTGAATACAATTTATGCTATAAGCATTCATTTAACTATATAAAGAAAATAAACAAATATATATGGTTGACTAACATACGTGAGCCGTACCTAAAACTTAGCTTATAAGGTGCTGGTGGTAGGACCTCTTGTGAGTCCGCGCGAGTAGGTACTACCACCCTGCCTATTTCTGCCGTGAAGCAGTAATGCGTTTCGGTTTGAAGCGTGGGACAGCCGTTGTAAATATACTGAGACCTTAGAACTCATATCTTAAGGTGGGTGGCGGCATTTAGTACGGCTCCTTACGGCTTACTTACGGCTCCGGTAACCACTTAACATCATGTCGGCCGTGAGCAGGTCCATCGGCTTAAGCGAAAAAGAAAAAAAAAGGTAAAAAACAATTCAATTGTTGAGCTTATTGTATTATTATGATGATCTTAAACATATTCATTTTAAGTTTCACTAAAATAAAAAATAAATGCGAAAATTATTGAAAAATTTAAACGGCTTCGCTTGTTTATGTGACATCCCATTACGGACCCCAAAAATGTATAAAGCATGTCGTTTTACTTTTTTCCTGCAAAGTTTGTGTATCGAGGTCAGCCCGGATTACATCTGCCTTTACTTTCACTGCAAATTCACTTGATAAAAAACGGATCTTGTAATGATGTTTTATCGACAGGTGAACGGATTCGACACTCAAGAGGTGGCTCGCATTTTGGACCGATATTTTTAGCTCAGACATTGCGAACAGACTTTACATGATAACAGTATTTTCAATTATTACATAATACTATTATTGATTTTGCACTACCTTTGGTTGACTGGTAGAGAATTAGGCATTAACTCCGCCAATGTAAATTTAACATGAAGTGTAAAAAATAAATTAAAAATAATAACCCCAAAGTGTTTCTCCATCGTTCAAAAATAGTAAAGTTCTCTTTCTTCTCTCTTTGTTTTAATTTTTTATTGCTTAGATTGGTGGACGATCTCACAGCCCACCTGATGTTAAGTGGTTACTGGAGCCCATAGACATCTACAACGTAAATGTGCCACCCACCTTAAGATATAAGTTCTAAGGTCTCAGTATAGTTACAACGGCTGCCCCACCCTTGAAACCGAAACTCATTACCGCTTCACGGCAAAAATAGGCAGGGTGGTGGTACCCACCCGCGCGGACTCAGAAGTGGTCCTACCAGCAATAAAAACTGGTCTTTAACTATTTACCATTATTTACGATCTTGACTAGGCTTGCAAGGTAATCACGATGTCCGGTTTGATGGGC